TGCATCTCTGCACCTGACCGGAACTGGATAGGTGGAACTGCCAGCATGGCACTGGGAGATTGGACCATGTGATGGATTGGTGGGTGTGGGGGCAAGATCTTGAACTTTCAATGGGTTGGGGAAAACCGGGAAGCTTTCAGATTTGGGTTTTTCCAGATGTGCCAACATGGCTCTCTTAATCAATTGGAACTTTGAGCAATACTTCGCCTTGGACTCTGATTTACGTTTGGATACTATTTGGAACCATGACACTACCCATATTTTGACATGGTATAAGTACCTTTCCCAGTAATACATCTTCCAAGTTCACTGAGGATTTCTCTGCGCTCCTTCACACTAGAGGTGGTCACTTTCACTGCAAATCTCTTCAGTGTTTCCGAAACCTAAACAGATGTTAGAGATTTGGGGTAGGGGAAGAGAAGATCGTTCCTGTGAGGCCTTTTGGAGATGCAAAAGGTAATCAAAATAATCCAGTAAAGATCATCAACTATGCCTATGTTCAACAGCGAACGAAGGGCAGAAAGCACAACTCCATGACACAGTCCTTTCAGCAGTTCCAAGAAGACCACACACTCATTTGCACTGCTCAGGAGATCCTTTCAAAATAAATATAAAAAGAAAGTGCAAAGCTATGTCTCTTGAAATATACAATTTCAGCTTTCCCTCAATTCTGATGAATCTTGTATTTTATGGTTTTTTTAGCTAAACAATAGAGTTGTGAGAAACTTTGGCTTGGCCAAATCAAATGACAGAATGCAAGATTGAATTGACGCTTGGTAAAGACTTTGGGATAATTATTCATTTATTGGCCTTCCATCTCGTTGCACTGAATGGTAAATAAAGCCCATGAGCTGGACTTCTGCAGCATGTGAAGATGAAGAATTGCCTGCTGACAATTTTGTGTATCATATGAACATGACCTAAAGCAACGTCTCTTGAAATATAATTGCAGCTGTCCCTCAACTCTGCTAAATCTCCTATTTCATGCTTTTTTAGCTAAACAATAGAACTTTGAGAAACTTTTGGTTTCCTATTGTTTTGCCCAAATTGAATTATAGAACAAAAGGTTGGGTTGATAAAGAAAAATAAAATAGAATACATTCATCAAGATTCACTAAACCACCGTGTTACCCACTTAACGACGGCGGGGGATTCGCTTAACAAACGCAGCCAGGAAAGTCATAAAATGGGGGGGGGAAACTCTCCCTGAACAGATTTCTCGCTTAGCGACGTGATTTTTTGTGGGGGTTCAGACTGCGGTCGTTAAAGCGAGGACTACCTGTCCTGCTTTTGCACCCAAGGATTTCACAGCCTGAAAAAAGCCCCGTAGAAGGTCCTCCCCGCCGACTTTTGAGCCCCAGCCGCTGCCCCGGGCTTGTTGTTGACTACAAAACCCATCTTCCTCCCGACGGCTACCCCGAAGCCCTGGCTGGGAACCATGGGGTTCCTGAGGAAAGAGCTGGGGTCCATAGAGAGAGAAAGAGAGGCTCCTGGCGCCCCTCCGCAACCCGCGCGGAGCCTCCTACAACCGGCCCAAGAGCGGCGCCGGGAACGCCGACGGAGGAGACGCGTCTTCTCGCCCGAGGAAGAGAGCCGAGCCGGGCGGCGGGCGGCTTCTCGGGCCGCCTTGGCCGGCTTCTCTGTTACTTTAGTCCCGCTCCGGCCTTCGGCAAGCGCTCACCTGCGTGTCAGCCGCCATCACGCCGGCTCCGCCCGGAAACTGTTTAGCTTCACTTCCGGCGCAGGGTGATGGCGTCACGAAACGCGCACACGAAGAGGGAAGGGAAACCTTCCATAGTTGGAAGGCACGTGGAGCCCGAGCGCGCCTGCGCGCTGAGGCTCCCTTTGGGAGCAATGCGCTTCTGATGGGAATTGTGTTTTCGATCCATTCTTTTATTTCATCCCTTCTTTTTATTCGTATTTATTTCACTTATTAATGAGCCTCATTAGATTTTTCCCAATTCTAATCATGGCACCCATTTCCAGACTTCCCATTAATTCATAGCAGGGTCTTTATTATCATTGTACAAAATAAATACACCAAAATTGGTTTTTCTCCAGCTTCAAAAACAGTATTTTAAAATACAGATTGTTGGCTATCTTAAAGGTGCTTTTTTTTTTCCCCCTCCAAGAGGCAACTGGACTTTCTGGGGTTTTTTCTTTGAAGACATTTTGCTTTGCATCCAAGAAGCTTCCTCGACTCTGATTGGAGTAAGAGATCTGAAGAAGCTCCTTGGATGAGAAGCAAAATATCTTCAGAGAAATTTAAAAAAACCAGAAAGTCCAATTGCCTGTTGGAAAAAAAAGCACTTTTGGGACAAATATGACCTTGGAGACTTTCTAAGAAATATACTTTTTATTTCTTTCTTTTGAATTTTCACTCCACTCGGCCGAGGACAGGTGGTGGTTTTAGTCAAAGAGCCCAAAGCCCATGTCTTCGTCAGATTCTTCTGATTCTTCCTTGACCTCTTCTTTTGGCGCAGCTGCTGCAGCAGGAGCAGCTGTTTCGGTCACTACCGGGACAGCAGCGGCAAAAGCTGAGGGATCAGCCAGGAAGGCCTTCACCTGCAAGGGAGGGGGGGGGGGGGGGGAAATAATATTTTCAGTCGTGTTTCAAGTGCCAAAAACATCCCTGCAGAGGTGGGCCTTTTCTGTTTTCCCGGACCGTCCGCAGAATGTCGAAAAAGGGCTTATGGGGACTGAACCCAAAGGAATAAAAGCCAACAGGAGACTGGAAACTAGGCTCAGTAAACTTGTCAAGTCCTCAACTTACAACGGTTTGTGTCCGTTTTTGCAGCAAGGTTGTTATCCTGAAGAGCACAGTTGGCCTTATTTGCAAAAAGTAGCGTCTACTATCACTTTCAATGCAGGCTGATCGGCCTACAGTAGTGGCCAATTGCTTTGCTTACCATCTCATACACCTATTTTATTTTACCATAACCCTACTTTTCTTTCCTTTTCTTCCTCCCTCCCTTCTTTCTTCTTCCCTCCTCTCCTTTCCCTTTCCTCTCCCCCACTCCTCTTCTTCCCCTTCCCACCCTTCTCTCCTCTTATTTCTCCTCCCTGTCTTCCTCTCTTTTCCTCTCTCCTCTTTCTACCTATCCTCTCTTCCTTCAGCGGGCCAGTTTCTGGCAGGTCCCGGGGGGGGGGGGTGAGGATTGGGGACCCTTGCCTTAAAACAACTCACCTTTTCAGCTAATGGGAAAGAGTAGTTGGTCTCCACAGCCACAGCCAGGACTCGCTTGTACCCATTGATGATGGAGTGGGGCAGGGAGGCCACAGTAGGGTAGCCGATCTGCAGGCAAACGCTGGCAACGTTACGGACGCCCTAAAGGGGACGAAAGATACAGGTTGCAAAAAAACCCATTCACAGGACGAGAGTTCAGCTGCTTTCGGTCTGCCCTCCTAACCTCCACATTCAAGAAGTGAAAAGAAAGACTGCTACAGTTCACCTTAGTGTCACATGCAATTCAATCTTTTAATTATCGGTTGGTACAATGGGAGGAGGGGGGCCGTCTGGGTTGTTGAAAATTCGAGGATTATTCTAAGAGGTGTCCCCAACAATTGAACCGGGGACCAAGCCTTATCTTAGCCCTCTTTCTGTCACTCCTATTCGTCCCTGGATTAAGGCAATTGGAAGGAGGGAGAGAGGGTTGAAGTTATTGTCTCTGGATGTTGCTAGGCAGTTTTAGCAATAGCAATTAGACTTATATACCGCTTCATAGGGCTTTCAGCCCTCTCTAAGCGGTTTACAGAGTCAGCAAATTGCCCCCACAAGGCAATTTGCTCACAAAGGCCACGACACAAACGGGACGCGTCCTCAAAGTCGGGGAGCCTCGCTTACTTCCAGAAAGCGCTTGTGCAAAGTTTCCTCGGTGATATCCAGAACCTCCGGGTTGTAAATGCTGCCGTTGTCAAACACTTGCTGGATGATGAGCCCAAAGGAGAAGGGAGAGATGTTCAACATGTTCAGCAGCGTGGCTTCGCTGGCGCCCACTTTGTCTCCGGTTTTGATCAGCTGCACATCGCTCTAAGAAACGAGAAAGGAATAAAAGGGAGGGATCAGAAGAAGAAAAAAAACAGGGCCATTTCACAAAGCCACATCATCTTGACAACGCATTACCATGGGCCTATGACAACTTGTCGCACACATCCAACTCGCCGCGGGACACATGACTTAATATCAAAGAAATGTTGAGAAATATGCAAGGAGGAGGGACAGAACAGAAGGTGAATGACAAAAATCGGCCAGCTTGCAACAAAATAAAGTTGTTGAATTGTCCCGTGGCAGGTTTTCCGATGGCGAGTTTCCAAAGAAGCTAACCCACAAGCTGGATTGGCTTCCCGACCAAGTGATTCACTTAATGTCCGAGGAAAGGTTTTTAAAAATGACACAGCTCACCGAAGAATTGGGATTTGGGTTCCTCTTAATCGGATCTTGTGCCTAAGGGAGGGCTAGAATTCCCAAGTCTTTCGGTTTCCAGCAAAACTGGGTATCCCAGTGGGCTCTTTAATTCAGGACTCACCAAGATTTCAATGGTGCCTCTGGAGATCTTGGTGGTGATGCCCAAAGCTTGGAAGAAAGAGGTCTTCTCGGGACCCAGGCCAGTGTTTTGAGCTGGCACAAGGACATCACAGGGAGCAATTGCTCCAGCTCTGGCAGCAGCTGGCACCTAGAGAGAGGAAAAAAAGAACCCGCAAATATTCAACCTCAGCTCGGCGACACCAAGAAAAGCGTGAAACCATTTCGATACCCAGCTTCCATTTACCTTGTTGGCCAAGAGCATATCCCGGATTTCGGTCAGATCCTCCTTGGTGAACACAAAGCCCACATTCCCACGGATGTGAGACAGCAGCCTATAAAAAAAACACAGCCAGTGTGATTTGTCATCGTTCCATCAAGCAACTGTCAGGCCTGGAAATCCTGTTTGGCATAGAGCATTCAGGCCTGCCTCATTTATTGCTGTGGTAAACTGGGAGGGGGGGGGGAGGTTGTATGGGAGATATGTAGCCATAACAACATTCTTTCTCAGAAAGTCAAGGTCATCTGGCATGTCCAGTTTTGGACGGTGCCCGATTGGACCATATGATGGACATGTGGGTGAAAAACTGGCAATTGTTTTGCTCAATTTTGCCCCCCCCCCCCTCCCGCCAGGAGGCACTCTGTAAGCCTCCTAAAAGCTATGCATGGCTTTTTTTGACAATAGCTCAGAAAGGCAGCTTCAGCCAGAAGCATCGGAGTCAAAGGGAAGGCAGGTCTGTTTGCTAAATTCTGGTTTTGCAACAAAGATTGCCATGATTCACTCAGGTTAAGCCAATACAGGCTGACAGAAAAAAATCGGGATTGGCGGGTGCTTCACAGAAGTGAAACTCAGGAGACTTACTTACAAGGGGAGTCAAGTTTATGTCTGGGCGGAAACTACTTTGTGAGCAGAAAATTACCATATTTTTCGGAATATAAGACGCATCCCCCACCCAAAAAGAGGGTGAAAATCTGGGTGGGTCTTATACACCGAATACAGCATTTTTGGAGCTACTTGAAGCATAGGTTGAGAACCACAGTGTGAAAACATCCAAGAGCCCCAGAAGCTTTGGAATACTAACTTTTCCAGAGCAGGGTTGTTTTCCAGATGGCCTCGGATGGCCTTACGCATCATGGTATTCTTCCCCATGAGGACAACGGCCTTCCCGCGCAGGGACATCCGGATTTGCTGCATTTGCTTGGAGCCCACATTGTCTGCTCCCACAATGAAACATTTTGGATAATCGTCCAGGAGTTGCTAAAGGAAGGAATAAAACAATGGCTTTCAGGTGGTCATTTTTCGAAACGAGCAGGCAAACTTCAAAGGGAACCAACGCAAACTCAAATTTCTTCAACCGGTTTTGATTCTTGGAAGGAGAAAGGTGGAATGGCATTATTCCAGTTCAGGGGAAAATTGTAGGGATGTCCCACAAAAACATAATTTGCATTTTCTTGTATTCTTTTTTTTTTAACTCTTTTCTAACATATGACAATACAGGTCCATATTACAGATCCTTTGGATGTGATATGGCCTAATGGATAATCCACAATGTATCATTATTATTATTATTACTATGTGCTATATATATATATATTAGTGTCACAACCCCTGGTAAGCCCCAATTATGGGAGGAAGCTAACTGCTTCCAACATCTGTCAATCGGCTCGTCACAAGAGTCCATCACGACAGAAACCCAATATTTTTACTGTTGCCTTTTTGTTATATTTGTGTTTTTTTTTATTTGTGCTGATAATACTAGTCTCCCTTTATTTATTTATCAGCACAAATTAAAAAAAAACACAAATATAACAAAAAAGGCAACAGTAAAAATATTGGGTTTCTGTCGTGATGGACTCTTGTGATGAGCCGATTGACAGATGTTGGAAGCAGTTAGCTTCCTCCCATAATTGGGGCTTACCAGGGGTTGT